AGACAGACAGACAGACAGACAGACAGACAGACAGACAGACACAGAGATACAGAGACACACACAGACAGGAATAAGGCAAGTGAAGAAGTGAACTAATTGCAAACAGACCCAGGCCCTGGGTCACTCCCCTCTCCATGGGAGAAGAAACAAATTGATGGGAGATGTTATTCTGTATATGTTTCTCTTAGTGGTTGATGAATAAAACACTGATTGACCAGGCTGGAAGATAGGCAGGTCTAGGAGACTAGGAGATGAGGAGAATTCTGGGAAATGTAGCCAGAGAGGAGTTAACATGTTAGCCTGGGAAGACAGGATGCAAGTCAGAAATTCTCCTGTAAGATAAGATCATGTAGAAATACACATATTAGTAGTTATGGGGTAATAATAAAGACAAAACTAGCCAACAAGAAGCCTATGCCACCAGCCAACAGTATTATAATTAATATAAGTCTCTGAGTGTTCATTTGGGGCAAAGCAGCTGCAGAACCAGGCAGGAATCCCACAACAACAAATGAAGTCATTTTGGGGTGGAAAGTCTTTATTTAGGTGGTAATTTGTTTCCAGTCCATCACTTCCTCACTTGCCCATGTCCTTAAATTTTCCCACACCTCCCCCATGTCTCCAAGTCCACAGATTTTCTGCATCCTCTGTCTACAGATGATAGGGGATGACAGACAGAAAACACACTTCAGCTGTCACCCCTGCTACCACTGTGATCACTGCTTCTAGGTACTGGCCCGCTGAAACCCAGAGAGAAGTCTGTTGGCAGTGTGGTCTACATGTCCTCTGCTCATAGCTGGGAGGAAATCCCTGGAAGGGTTTCACCTGGGGTGCTTTGGGGCCAAGACTAGCTACCAGGTGTGTTATTGGAAGGGGTCTTCTTCCTGTCACCTGTACTAATGCTTAAAATTCTGTTTTCATGATGGGGGAAGTACTTCTGTGTATGTTTATCTTATTGATTGTTGAATAAAGTTCTGTCTGGCGAATGAAACAGCAAGTTAGACAGGACTAGGTGTCAAAGAGGATTCTGTGAATGTAGTAGAGAAGTGGTGATCCAGGCCAGAAGTGACATAGCAAGGAAACTCATATTTAAGCAAGGAGAAACAGGAAATGTCCTTTTCCCCTCGGTGCCTCCTCCAGCGGTGCCATGTGAGCCACCTGCAAGAGAGGGTGCCAGCGGAAGGCATCCTCTATAAGTCTTACAAAATATATAGATTTATGATAATTCAGACTGAGCTAACAGATGAGAATACTAGTCATTGGCCTAGCAGCATTTGAAGCTAATACAAGTTTCTGTGTATTAATTTGGGCCCTAACTCGGGCGGGTGGCTGGCATAAAGCGCACACATGGCCGTGGGGCTCAGCAGCTTTTGGCAGAAAGATTTACCATAACAGTTTCAAATTCAGCTTTAACCCAGAGAAAACAGAGAATGGGGAATATGGGACAGTTAGTCTCCACTGTCAACCAGACTGGATTTAGAACTACCTTGGTTGAAGCACATCTCTGGGTGCCTGGATGGGTTCACAGGAGGAAGGACCCACCCTGGGTGTGGTTGGCACACGCCATGGGCTGTGATTTGGACACTGTAGAAGGAAGGAAGGAAGGAGAAATCCAGAGGGATCATCCCCATTCCCCTTTTCTCTCTGTCTGGACTTGCCACACTGAACTGTACTGTTCTGCCCTGCCCTCCACACCAGGAGGGACTCCCAGCTTTGAGACCATCAGTGGCTTTCCTACTGAAAGCTTATGTTGGCTGCTTCTTCATTATAGTGATGAGAAGTGACTTTTGGATTTGTGGTAGAGTTCCTTGCTATTATTCTTCTTGAGCTCTTCCTTCAGCTGCCATGTTCCACATTACTGCAGGCTTGCTTTCTATGACTACAGGTAGCCTATAGTCATCCGCACACCCCATTACCTTAAATTTGGAGTAAACTTCACGTATGGGGAAAATTTAATAATGAAAGGAGTTAGTTTTTCTAACTTCAGCATGTCTTCTTGTTTGAATACACGATTCACTAAAATATTTATGACGACATGGGAAATGTTTGTGTTACAGACTAGAAATTTATGTCAAACAGAGGAAGAAGTAAATGAACAAATGGCAGCACACCAAAGTGTCTTCAGGGACATGTATTGTCTTTAGAGGGGGTGTTACTACCATTAGTTTACATGCAAAGAAAAGATGCTTGCTCCAGAGATCCCATGAGTTCAGGAACTGGTCTTGATTATCCTTGTGTCTGTTTTTCCTCCCCATTCCCAGAGAAGGAAGGTTCTCAGGAAGCAGAAGTCTGTGGAAGGGTCTCTGTGTGTCTCCCAGAGCTTCAGTCCAGCTCTGCTACTCCTTACCCAGCACTTAGGGTGAGAGTCACAGAAGTCGGAGTGAAGGACTTAGCTGTTCAGACTGAAGACCTAGAATCTCAGGAGCAGACATGAGTGAGGTTCTCACAACAGGGCTCATGTCCTCACAGTGAGGACCTGAAGAAACTAGAAGGGGCCAATGAGCAAGTGCTGGTTTGGAACTGAGGTGGTGCATTTAGAATGTTTTCCCCAGTGTGCATTTTGCTGAGGTTCTGGTTGCATGGTTCTTTTCTGGAATGTTGCCACTGTGGCTTGAGTAGGTCCCTCAAAAATTCATGCACTGCAAAGTTCATTTCCCTAAGTTGCATGTTGCTTGGAGTTCCAGGTAGGGGTGTTGGGATTATGATTAGTGTTTGTGAGAGTATGTGCCCTTCACCAAACATGCTCCTCCAATCTTTCTAAGTCATGCCCTAGCCATGGCCTACTCCTTCCAATGATAGTTGTTCCTGGTACTTGAAACTCCTTTGGAGTCAGTGATGGAGTGGGTAGGGTGCTTGCCTAGAATGTGGGTTTACTTCCCAGTACCACCAAAGACAGAGCAAAATAAAAGCCTCTTTTTCAGTCTCCCTCTGTCTCTTTAAAAGGAACAACTGATTGCACCTGGCCAAATAGTCACAGCAGGAAAGGGTTACATGTTACTGGGTGTAAAGGCTTCTTGCTGATGAGTTGTTTCTATTTTGCCACAAACTTGATGCAAGTTAGAGTCATCTGGGAAGAAGGAACCTTAACTGAGGGGTGGCCTCCATCAGTTCCCATGATCAAGGGCTCCCTGGGAGCAACAGCTCAGTCCACTGTGGAGACTGAAGATGCGACAGCAGATGGGTAGGCCAAGAAAGGTCAAATTCAAACTTCCAAGTTCAGTTTCTAGTGAATACATAGCCCCTCTGCATTGTTGTAAACCAGCATGAAAGCTGGGTGTAGTGGCCCATGCCTTAAATCCCAGCACTTGGAAGGCAGAGGCAGACAGATTTGAGTTTGAGGGTGGCCTGGTTTATAGAGTGAGTTCCAGGACAGCTAGGGCTATATGAAGGGAAACCTGAATGAGTCAGGGAGTTTCACGTTGCCCCTGGTTTACCAGTCCAGAGAGAAGGCGGAGAGAGGCATTTCCTCCTTGTCTTTCTTATCTACACACTCAGCACACATGACTCCACTTGCAGGAGGGAGCTCTGGGGAGTGAGAGCTGGAACTTTTCTTTTTCACTTCATTCTATTCCAATGATCATCAGTCATTTTATTGGACCTTTATTACAGGAATGAAATCTCTAGCCTAGTGATTGTTGCAGAGTTAAGTATTTCTTAAATATCCTTGCTCTGATGCTGGGATGCTCCTGCATTGTCCTAGCCAGAACCATTACCAGAGAGATTTGAGATGTGTTTATTATGTTTATTATGTTTCCAAGAGCCTCCTCTTTCTCCATCATCACAGCATCAGCAGCCTGGAACTTTTGAAGAGATGCCTTCACTCCCCCAACTGTCAGGATTTATAATGGTTGAGAGAGTGACAGGTGGGGCAAGTAAGACTTCTTTGGTTTATCTATTGGCAGCAGTGGCTGGGAATGGATGGGGCTGGATGCTACAATGAGTGGTTTTAAGGGTTGGAAGAGAGCCTGGGTTAAGTGAGGGTAGAGCCAAAGCTGAGACAGAGGACAGTGGGGTAGGATGGCAGCATGGTAGATGGTGTGAAAGCCTTTTAGTTGTTGTCCTGGGTTCTAGGCATGCAGTAAAACTGAATTCACATGAGCTGGTCTCGTGATGGGTGTCCATTTCTCAAGATGTCCTGTGAAGAGAGGTTTTGGGGGGGCATCTTTGATGTCCATGTCCTGGTCTAGTTCTCGTGAAGAGGCTACAGAAGCAAAATAAACATAGTTATTTTGGTTTATTTTCTAAGTAAGTGCTAGCTACTTTCTACCCAATGCAACTCTTTGATGTTTTATTTTCACCCTCTCTCAGGCCTAAAATACTGTTTTTTTTTCCTTTGAAAGAAATGAATAATCCATTTGGCATAGAGCCCACTCTCAGATGTGGGCCTATTGTGGAGTTAAGCCTTTTTGACTCCTGTGGGGTCCCCGTATATCCCCTTCTGCCCAAAGGGCCCAAGAATCTGTGGAGGTAATGTGGTATTTTTTTTTTTTTTTTAGAAATCACCATCTTGTGATTAGGAGTAGATACACCATCTTACGATCTACCAGTGAGCTCAAGTTCCAATTTCTTGGTATTTTTTTAAAAAGTAATAGTCAATGGGTACAAAGTAGTATCTTACTGTAGTCTTGGTTTTCAATTCTCTAATGAGCAGTGATAATGAAGTAATTATGGTTTCTTTTTTTCATTTTATTGAAAATAGATTTTTTTCTCACATAATATATCCTGATTAGTCTCCAATCCCTCTATCTTCCCAGTCCCTCCCCACCTTCCCTCCTATCCAGATTTACCCTCTTTCTTTCTCTCATTAGAAAAAAAACAGGGTTCTAAGAGGTAATAATAAAGTATATAGTAAACATAATATGATAAAACAAAACCAGACACATCGGAATAGGACAAGAGCCTAAGAAAAAAACATAAAATTTAGATTTAGATGCAAAGAATTATTTATTTGCTCACTTAATCCTATAAGAACTGGAAGCCATGATATGTATGAAAAGAACCTTCAGGGTAAAAAGAGAAAAATATATATAAAATAAACCAAAAATAAGATGAAATTAAGGGGAAAATCGCTGGAATGACATTATGAGACAAGGAGCCTCCAATGATGCCATTGAGTATGTTTTCAGTTGTCCATCTGCTGCTGGGCATGCAGCCTACAGTTAAGAGTAGTTTCTTTCCACAGTGAGATTCTCTTGGAGGAAACTAGATTTTCATTTGCAAGTGATTATCAATTGGATATTGCTTCTGAGTTCGGGATGGTGGCATGTGTCCACTTCTCCTTTCAGCTTCAGATACTATCTGGTGAGGACCTGTGCAGGCCCTGTGCCTACTGCCTTAATCTCTGTGAGTTCATATGTGCACCTATCCTGTTGATTTAGAGGGACTTGTATTAGAGACCATAGTCTATAAGCTATTCCAATAAAGCACACACACACACACACACACACACACACACACACACACACACACACACACACACCATTATATATGTCTGGGTTACCTCACTCAGGATGGTTTGCTTTAGTTCCATTAATTTACATTTGAATTTCATTCTTTTTAATGGCCAACTAATGTTCCAATGTGTAAATGTACCACATTTTCTTTATCTATTCATCTATTTACAGACATCTAGGTTGTTTCCAGTTTCTGGCTATTATGAATATAGCCCAATGAACATGGTTGGGCAAGTATCTCTGTGATAGGATTAAGAATCCTTTGGTTATACGCTAGATCTTGAGGTAGATGATTACTGTCTTCCTGAGTACTGCTACACTGATTTCCACAGTGGCTGTACAAATTTACAATCATATCAGCGATGGATGGGTGTTCCCCAAATTCTGCATCCTTCCTAACACAGCTGCCATTTATTTTATTGATTTTAGGCATTCTTGTGATGGTCTGAATGTAATTGACCCCTATAATCTCCTAGGGAGTGGCACTATTAGGAGATGTGACCTTGTTGGAATAGGTATGGTCTTGGTGGAGGAAGTGTGTCGCTGTGGAAGTGGGCTTTGAGGTCTCAGATATATTCAAGATACCACCCAGCATCTCAGTTTACTTCCTGTTGCTTTCTGATCAAACTGTAGCCAGTACCACGTCTGTCTGCATGCCACCAAGTCCCATCATGATGATAATGGACTGAACCTCTGGACAGTAAGCTGCCACCTCAATTGAATGTTTCCTTTATAAGAGTTGCCATGGTCATGGTGTCTCTTCACAGCAACAGCAACCCTAAGACAATTCTGATTGGTGTAAGATGAAATCTCAAAGAAGTTTTGATTTGTATTTTCCCAATGGCTAAAGATGCTAAACATCTCTTTAGGTGTTCTTCAGCTATTTGAGTTTTCTCTTTTGAGAATTCTCTGTTTAGACCTGTACCCAATTTTTAAAAATTGGAATATTTCATTTGTTGCTGTCTAGTCTTTTAGTTCTTTATATATTTTGGATATTAGTCCTCTATCTGATATATATAGTTGGTAAAAAAAAATCTTTTCCCATTCTGTAGCCTCCTGCTTTGTCCAAATGACAGGGTAAAGTGAAATAGCAATACGGAGTCAGGTATAGCTATAAGGATATTTATGTAGGAGAATCCTACTTACTCAGCCTAGCCAGCCAGCAGGGAGAAAGGTAAGCAGAAGAAGGGGCTCCCCACGTGCCTGTCCCTCACTTTTAAACCTTCCTCACATCACCCTGACCATGCCCAAGTGGGTGTGGCCAGGCACACCTGTAACCAGCCCCAAGCAGGCTTTGCCACACAGTTTTTCAGTTTCATGAGGTCCCCTTTATTAATTGTTGATTGTAGTGTCTGTGCTGCCAATGTTCTGTTCACAGAGTTTTTTCCTGTACTGTTGAGCTCAAGACTATTCCTTACTTTCTCTTCTATCAGGCTCAGTATATGTGAATTTTGTGCAGGGTGATAAAAGTGTGGACCCTGTTTGGATCTGTAGCCATCCAGTTTGACCGGCACCATTCATTAAAGATGTTGTCTTTTCCCCCATTATATTTATGACTTCTTCATCCAAAATAAGGTATCCATAAGTGTGTGGATTTATGTCTGCATCTTCAGTTTGATTCCATTAATCAACATGTATACTTTTATGCCAATACCATATTGTTTATTTTACTATAGCTCTGTAGTACAGTTTGAGGAGGTTGAGAATAATGACACCTGCAGTAGTTGTTTTATTATTCAGGATTGTTTTAGCTATTCTTGTGTGTGTGTGTGTGTGTGTGTGTGTGTGTGTGTGTTTCCATATAAAGCAAAAATTGCCCTATCAAGATTTTTGAATTGTGTTGAAATTTTGATTATGATTGCACTGAATCTGCAGATTGGTTTTGGCAAGATGGATATTTTTACTGTATTAATCCTACTGATTGGTGAGAATGGGAGATCTTCCCATCTTCAATTTTTTTCTTCAGTGTTTTAAAGCTCTTATCACACAAGTCTTCCACTTGTCTGGTTAGAGTTATGCCAAGATATTTTATATTATTTGAGATGATTGTGAAAGGTGTTGTTTCCCTGATTTCTTTCTCAGTCCATCTGTCACTTGTATATAGGAAGGCAGGGTCCCAGGGATTGCTGGCTCAAGTTGGAGGTTGAGCTAACAGGAGTAGTGTGTGTGTGTGTGTGTGTGTGTGTGTGTGTGTGTGTAGGTAGGTAGGAGGAGAAGAACTGCATGATGGGAATGAAGAAGCCAGAGAGGCTGAATCAGGAGGTGAAATACAGAACGGGGGATGAAACTGGGAATTTCTCATTCAAGCAGTCCAGGAGGCAAAGGAGAATCAGGCTGAAAGTTGGGAAAAAAGCCAGGTGGATTGAGAAATATGGTGACAGAGTTTCCACAGTTAACTGTTCAAGCAAGAGTAACACATTACAGGAGCAATGAGACCAGTGGCTGGCTTCACAGAGACTTTTTAGCAGAGTGAG